TATCTATCTATCTATCTATCTATCTATCTATCTATATCTATCTAGAGGGTTATAAAATCTATCAGGTTGTAAAATAAATCTATCAGGTTGTAAAATAAATCTATATATTGGGTTGTAAAATATATCTATCTATATATCTGGTTGTAAAATCTATATCTATGGGGTTGTAAAATCTATATCGGGTTGTAAAATCAATCTAATCTATATCGGGTTGTAAAATAACTGTCTAATTGTAAAATCTATATCTATCTATCTGGTTGTAAAATCTATCTATCTATATCTATCTATCTATCTATCTATCTAGAGGGTTGTAAAATAAATCTATCAGGTTGTAAAATAAATCTATATATTGGGTTGTAAAATATATCTATCTATATATCTGGTTGTAAAATCTATATCTATGGGGTTGTATAATCTATATCGGGTTGTAAAATCAATCTAATCTATATCGGGTTGTAAAATAACTGTCTAATTGTAAAATCTATATCTATCTATCTGGTTGTAAAATCTATCTATCTATATCTATCTATCTATCTATCTATCTATCTATCTAGAGGGTTGTAAAATAAATCTATCAGGTTGTAAAATAAATCTATATATTGGGTTGTAAAATATACCTACCTACCTATCTATCTATCCATCCATCCATCCATCCATCCATCCATCTATCTATCTATCTATCGGGGTCCAGAATTCCCATTGCGAAGTGAGATGGTTGTTTGCCTCTGTTTTACAACCGACCTTCCCACGGTGGTTAAGGGAATCACAGGGTCGTTAAATGAATCCGGCTTCCCCCATTGACTTTGCTAGTTGGAAGCTGTCCAAAAATTTCACAAATTTTGTGTGATTTTGTGACCCCCCCCCCCCGGGGTAGCGTAACAATTGTAAATATGTGCTGGCTGCCAAAATTTTGATCAGCGTCACTGTGGAGATGCCGTGGCCGTAAGCGCGAAGACCGGGGGTAACTCATTTTTTTCAGTGGCGTTATAATAGCAAATGTCACTAAACGAATAATTGTATGTCAAGGACTACCTGTGGTTGCGTTGTAGAATGGATGCAGGTAGTCCTCGACTTACAACCGTTCTTTAAGTGACTATTCAGAGTTATGTCGGCGGTGAAAAAAGTGTCTTAGAACCATTTTTCACCATTCCGGCATCCTCGTGATCAAAACTTGGCAATTAACTCACATTTATGACAGACGTGAGGTCTCGCACGATCCCCCTTTGCAACCGTCTGTGACGAGCAAATGGGGAAAACCAGATTCACGAAACAACTGTGTGACCAGCCAAATGGTGGCAAGGATGGTCATAACCTGGGGGCCAAGCGCGCTTAACCAACGTCTCGTTCAGCAACAAGAAATATTTAGGCCCCCAGCGTCGTAAGTCGAGGACTACCTAGACTTCTTTCAGAAGGAGCCTTTGGGTGGGAACAATTCGAAAAGGACATTTTATTTTTATTTTGTTTTATTTTGCTCATGGCTGCTTGCCCATTTCTACCCAGGAGCTGGAAGCCATTAAAGCCAGGGTACGAGAGATGGAGGAAGAAGCCGAGAAGTTGAAAGAGTTGCAAAATGAAGTTGAGAAGCAGATGAACATGAGCCCCCCACCCGGAAATGGTGAGTCCCGTGGCCCCCCCCCCCCTCCAAATACATTTTCCTGGAAATTCTGAATTTTAGCCACCCTCTCAATCAGGAGAGCCGTTTAATTATTAAGGATTGTAGACACACATACACAGTGTCATATAGGGGTGTGAGTTTGCGTTTATATCCATGAGTATATATGATGACAGCCTCTTTGGTCTAGTGCAGGGGTTGGCAACTTGCGGCTCTGGAGCCTCTGCTGCAGCTCCCTGTCGCTGGTCAGCTCCACAATTAATAGGGCTTTCAGTTAGGACAGGTAGAGGAAAAAAGACGCTGCGCTAGGAGGAGACTCTATGGTGGGGGAACGCGACTTCCCGTCAGCTCCAGAACGGGGAGCTTCCGATTAGGACCTTTGTGGCTCTTGAGTGTTTAAGGTTGCCGACCCCTGGTCTAGTGGTTAAGGCACCAGGTGAGAAAGCGGGAGACTGTGAGTTCTAGTCGCACCTTAGTCATGAAGGTCGGCTGGGGATCCTTGGCCCAAATCATATCCCTCTCCCTCTGTTGAGAGAGACGGCTATTCCAATTTTGACATAGATGGCCTCTTTCAAACCAGTGGTCCTCTGTCCAAAATGGGGAGTTTGCTGTCTTCCAAAGAGTGATCGTTTAAATCAGTGGCAGTCAACCTGGTCCCTACCGCCCACTAGTGGGCGTTCCAGCTTTCACAGTGGGCGGTGAGGGGTTTGCTGTAACTCTGCTTTATAAATTTTATAAAGTAAAGTTACTTCCCTACTTTATAAATCACCATTTACTGTGGAACCGGTGGGCGGTTAGAAAATTTTACTACTAACAGAGATACAAAAAGTGGGCGGTAGGTATAAAAAGGTTGACTACCCTTGGTTTAAATGNATGTGGTTATTTTTGTTAATGTGTTTATGTGTTCTGTTGATGTGCTTATGTGTATAAAATAGAAATAATAATAATAAACTGATGTGTTGGAAGTAAAATCCTGGTCAATTCAAAGCCAGGAGAAAGATTCAGGAGCTGATGAACTGAAGCTGCTGGAGAGGTCTCCATTTATGGGTGGTCCTCGATTTAGGACCACACCGGAGCCCCCACATTTCCGTTGTTAAGTGAGACATTTTTTTCAATAGTTTGTATTGAACATTTTTACCTTTAAAAAAACAGGGGGGAAAAAACACACACCAGTGCGTTAAGTGAGACATTTGTTAAGTCAGTTTTGCCCTACTGTACAACCTTCCTTGCCACAGTTGTTAAGTGAATCACTGCTGTTGATAAGTTAGGAACCCGGTCGTTAAGGAAATCTGGCTTCCCCGTGGATTTTGCGGGTCGGATGTTCACAAAAAGAGATCGCAGATGCCTCCTGCAGAACTCTGCTGGCCAAAACGGGGCACGGGGGGGTGGGGGGATCCGCATGAGCTCCCCTGCGCCTCGTTTTTGCCCTCCATGGCCTCCTGCAGCACTCGGCCGGCTGAACACGGGCTGCATGGCCCACTTTTTGGCCCGTGTCCGCCCCCCCCCCCAAATGGAGGGTGAAAACGAGGCGCGGTGGGGGCGCAAGTGACCCATTTTAGCCGCCAGGTCTGATGTTTCCAGGCCTGCCCTGCAGGCTGGATTTAAGGCCTCTGAGGGCTGAATTTGGCCATGGGCCGGATTCAAGCCCCATGCGGGCCGGATTTGGCCCACGGGCCGGATTTAAGCCCCCTGAGGACTGGCTTTGGCCTGTGGGCTGGATTTAAGCCCCCTGCAGGCTGGATTTAAGCTCCATGTGGACCAGATGTAAACCCCCCGCGGGCCAGATTTAAGCCCCACGAGAACCGGATTTGGCCCGTGGGCCGGAGTCAAGGCCCCCGCGGGCCAGATTTGGCCCGCGGGCCATGGGGTTAGCACCCCTGCCCTAGAGTAACTATCATATCAGCAAATTCTGGTGAAGGCTGGTTTCTAGCCTAGCAGAGGCCTTCCTGCATATAATTGTCAAGCTTTAGCCTTATCTGAGGAGATTAGAAAGGAATGCAATGTCGTTTCTTTTCAAGGCCAGCCTGGCTTCTTACAATTCTGTGAAAACAAATTCCCTTTTCCCACCGATGAAGAATCTGCATCTTCTCAAATAGTCGAATCTGTATTGCCCCTATCTGGCTTCCTGGGTGGCGGTCAGGGTCAGGTCTAGCCTTGGGGAGGGGAGGGAATGTCAATCCTTTGTGGCTTTGTCTTTTTATGACTCAATCCTTAATCCTGTCAATTCAGACGGCCTTCCAGTCTTCAAGTTGGGGTTTACTTGAGGTCATCCTGGCTGGGAGGTAGGGATTTCTTCTTTTCTTCTTCTTCTTCTTCTTCTTCTTCTTCTTCTTCTTCTTCTTCTTCTTCTTCTTCTTCTTCTTCTTCTTCTTCTTCTTCTTCT